AATTTATTTAATTATTGTATATATAAGAAATTGTATACATCAAAATTTATATAAAATTAAAATTTTAAGTATTTTTCAATTTATTTAAATAAATAGGCAAAAATAGCTTTGGCACGGTCCATGGCCCGACTTGGGCGAAGGCTTGGCCCACGGGCTAGCTCGGTCCACGGCACGGCATGGCACGGGCCCACATGGGCCTGGGTTGTGGGCCGGGCTGGGCCGACCCCTAAAATTTTCACCGGGTAGGGTGGCACGGCCAGTGACGACCTACGGGCCAGCACAGCACGGCTTGCCCACTTTACACCTCTACATAAAGGCTTCTAGTAAAATGATTCCTTAATATATTATGAGATCATTTAAAGTCTCGAAAGATATTATTCAAGATCTTGATAAAAAAGCAAAGGGATTTCTTATGGACTAACAGTAAAGAAAGGAAACCTCTCCACCTCATCAATTGGAACCGGGTCTACAATTCCAAGCTTTGGGATGGACTGGGCCTGAAGAATTTAGGCTGGATGAATTAAGCCTGCCTTGCAAAATTAGGATGGAAAGTGCTAAATGAAAAAGATAACTTGTGGGTTTAAATTGTAAATAACAAATATCTACGGAGAGAAAACTTTTGGGAGATTAAGCCAAAAAAGAATCATTCATGAGCTTGGAAAGGCATCATTGATTCCCGTGATTTGATTAAGAGAGGTATAGGAATGATTATCGGCAAAGGTAATAACACAAAATTTTGGTTTGATAAGTGGTCAGATGAGGTTCCCCTTATCAATTTGGTTAATAAAGCAGAAATTAATAACTTAGACCTCCGTGCTAGTGATGTCATCAATCACGAGACTAAAACTTAGAAGGAGGACTTGATTAAGAACTTAGCACCTTTAAGTGTGGGAAAAATTAAAACTATTTCATTCCATCTGGTGATCATGAGGATAGTCTTGTATGGAGGCCTAACCCAAAATGAAATCCTTCTCGATCAAATCGGCCTATAATGAGGCATGTTGGATGCATGGTAACCTTATTAGGGTGAAAAAGGAAATCAATAAGGTATGGAGTCTAAAAATTGCTCCCAAGATTAAAATCTTTTTATATCTCTTGCTCAACAACAAACTTCCTTCCAAGATAGCCCTTAAGAAAGGAGGTTTTGATATTGACAGTTGCTACAGCTTTTTTGGTGATAAGGAAGATTCTGTTCATATTTTTTGAAGTGTCATTTTACTAGATAAATATGGCTCATCACGAGAGATACAACTCTGGCTCCTCCAGAGAATAGCAATTCGGTGCTTGAGTGGTGGACTTCTTTGGATGGTAATACTTATTATCCTAAGGTTCCATTTGTGAAAGAAAAAAGTGCTATTTTATTGTGGCATATTTGGAAGAATCAAAATAACAAAACTTTCAATAACAAGGCAATGCCTCCTCCCATAATCATTGATAGAGCTAAAAACTCATTTATGGAATCTACTTCAAGTTATGACAAAGATTCAATGATTGAACATAGTAAACAGTTCATCCTGTCAAGTGGACAAATTCAAAAGTGGATGAAATCAAAATAAACTTTGATGCTTCTTGCATTAATCGATGCATCATTGCTTGTGTGGCCAGAAACCACCTTAGCTAGATTTTGAACTTCAAAGCCTTTAGAATAGGAATTACGACTATTAATCTTGCTGAAGCGTGGGCTGCTTAGGAAACTCACAATCTCGCTCTCAATTTCAATGGAAAATGCATCATCATTGAGGGTGATTCAAAGTTAGTTATCGACAGTTTGAAGAACCAAGTGAACCCCCATGGAGGCTGAGAAGGATCATTGAAGGCTGTAGGTCTTTGGTCGAAAGGATGAATGGCAGTGTTGAGTAAAGTCACACCTATCACAAAGGAAATCAAGCTGCTATTTGACTTGCTAATTGTGCTCATTCCAACCTTATTTCTTTTACTTTGTTGCCTTTCTCCTTAAAAGTGCATTTCTTGTTTGGCCAATCCATCAAAAAAAACAAAAGAAAGAAAGAGAAGCCCTCTGTTTTTTTTTTTATCAATAACACAAACTTCATTAAATTAAAAGAAAAGAGGGAATATGGATACAAAAGGGGAGATAAAATATCTTAGCTCCCCAAAAACATAAAACAAAGGGAATGCAAAGAGAAAAGATTAAAAACTAGCCCAAAAAACAGACTCCCCATTCACTCCTTGCTTGGCCAATCCATCCGCAAATGAGTTGGCACTCCTCTTCACCCAGTTGTACTGAATCTCAATGTCCCTACCCAACCATAAGAACTGTTTTTTTTCATTGTTAAAGTTCCACAAACCACTATCCTCTGTCTTCAACCAACTAACCACCACCTTCGGATCACCTTCCAGGATCAAACGATTGATATTTAATTCTTTTGCTCTTCGAATTCCTTCAAGCGCTAGAAGGATCTCAGCCCTAAGAGAGCCACCTTCTCCAATAGGGCTAGAGAATAAAGCAATAACAATCCATTCCTCATTCCTGAAGACTCCTCCAATCCCAGAGGGCCTTGGATTCCTTACACTGCTGCTATCAAAATTCAATTTTATAAAACCCGAGGGGGGAGGGGACCAAAACGGACAAAGAGTCATCTTGCATCTAGCAATGGAAGCAATCTCTTTCCAATTTTTTAGCAAGTCATCCATAGGAAAATCTGAAAACAACTCCAAAGATTTTAGCCAGTGGACAACCCTTAAAAGGATTTGATCTAACAATTCTTCCAATGTTCTTTCCTTATCGGAAAAAATGCGTGAGTTTCTTTTTTCCACAATGACCAGCATACTGCTGCCCTAATACACCTCCACATAGTCTTCCCTCGCTTCCTAGGCCAACTGAAAAAAAGAGAAAACAAACCTTGGACAATCTCCGAAGGATACCAAGAACACCCAAAACGGGAGAAAACCCACTCCCAAATAGTTTTAGCAGCCTTACAAGAGACCATGAGGTGGTAGCCAAATTCCCCATCAGCTTTACAAAGAGCACATCTATTAAGAAGTAGACAATAGTTGGGTCTCTTTCTCTGAACTAAGTCTAAAGTGTTAATTCTTTCCAAGAAAATTTCCCAACAAAAAAAACCAACCCGAGGAGGAATAGGCCTGCTCCAAATTTCCTTAACTGGAAAGAACAACCCAAAGGGGATAAGAGGCTGAGTTAAGGTTTCAAAGAATGAATCACAAGAAAATGTACCAGATCTAGAAGGGGTCCAAAATCTGGTGTCTTTCTTAGCAGGGTTTAGGAAGACAATCTCAAGGGAAGTTAGCAAAGTTACCAAGCTATCCATGTCTGTATCCCTAATTGCCCTACGCAGGCCAAAGTTCCATCCAAAGCCAGAAGTGGAGGCTGAAGGGACCAAGAAAGAAGATATGGGTTCATTTTTCAAGTCTGATAGAGCATGCAAGGAAGGAAACTGGTCTTTTAGAGGAGAATCCTCGACCCAAAGTTGTTTCCAGAATTTTATTCGACTACCAGAGTTTAGACCATACTTGATCCAATGGGAGAAAACTGGAAGTAGATTGTGAATGGATTTCCAAGGAGAAACAGCTGAAGCCCTTGCCAAGATTCCAGGATCCCAGCCATTGTCTTCCAGCCCATGAATGCTAGCCACAATCTTAGTCCACAATTATCCATTTCCAATAAAAACCTCCACAACCACTTCCCTAATAGAGCCATATTCCTTTTCTTGAAATTACCAATCCCAAAACCTCCTAGTTTTTTACACCTAATGACTACCTCCCAATTCACCCTATGATCTCTCTTCTCTCTAGGCTCCGATAAAAAATTCCTTATTAATTTTTTCAAAAGATTAGAAACCTTTGAAGAGATCTTAAACACTAATAGATAGTAGACAGGTAGGTTAGCTAAGGTAGACCTAATGAGAGTGACTCTCCCACCTAAAAAAAGATAATTTCTCTTGTAGGCCACCAGCCTCTTCTCAAACCTCTCCACTACCTGAGTCCAAAAGCTAACACTCTTAGAATTATGTCAGGGGTCAATCCGAAATAAAGAGAAACCCTCTATTGAGAACTCAAAATGAGTCTCCAAGTTAAAATCCTCATCATTTAATGGAAAAAATAGCACACAACACTTTAACACCTTTGCAAAATATTCCTATATTTATAGGGCAAGTTTTATACGAAAAGAAATTAAAAGTTTGAATGAAAGTCCAAACCATAAGAATAGATGATTCAAATGGCAGATACTGAATATGGGGACCATACATTAAGAGAAAAACAATTCATCATCTAAGCTAAAAGGCAAATCTATGTCAAGCCATGGTCATTCATCAGGCAAGATTTCAGGGCTCATCTTCTCTTCACCGAGCATGTGCTTACGGTTCACCATGTTTAGGTGCCCATTTACACCACCTGCAACAACTCAGATTCCAAGTTTCCAACATGCATGGTCAAAAAAAAAAAACAATAAATAAATAAAATCATGTTTGCACGGAATTATGCGAAATTTGTCATCAACCCCACCTAACAAGTCTATATCATTCAAGATAGCTTATTAGAAATAGATGCCTCCAACCTGTTATTGATAACAAGGTTTCTTCAACCCAATAATCTAATAATGGAACATACATACATTCCTTTGGTTTCAACGTAGCTGAACCTAAATAACTAAAATAGAATCACATGATCATCTTGCTCTCAGCTTCTCTTTCATTCTTTCAACTGCACCCTTCAGAGTGTCCTCATCTTTGCAGAATGTGAACCTTACCAGATTCTTTCCTTCTTCTGGGTTAAGATAGAAGACGCTAGTTGGGATTGCTACCACGCCCACCTCCTTAATCAGATACTCACAGAAAGCAATATCATTTTCCAATCCAAATGGAGTATGATCTACCACCACAAAGTAGGTACCACTTGATGGAAATACCTTAAAACCAACAGCCTTGAGTCCTTCCACCAAAATTGCCTTCTTTGCCATATAATCCCTTTTTAGTTCCTCATAGTATGAATCAGGAGCACGGAGAGCTGCAGCAGCTGCATACTGCATCGGATTTGAGGTGGAAAAGGTGAGGAAAGAGTGGGCCTGCCTCACTCCCCATGTCAGATGTGGTGGAGCTATTGCCCATCCAATCTTCCACCCTGTTAATGAGAAAGTTTTTCCCAAAGAATTCATAGTGACAGTCCTCTCATACATGCCAGGAAGTGAAGCCATAGAAATATGATCAGCTTCAAATGCCAACTTGTCATAAACTTCATCAGTAAAGACTAACACATCATTCTCAATGCAGAGAGATGCAATCACATTGAGCTCCTCTCTAGTGAACATCTTTCCTGTTGGATTATGGGGAGTATTTATCAGTATTGCACGAGTGTCCTTTGAGATAGCAGCCTTCAGCTCGTTAATTGGAACTGAGAAGTCTGGAGGTTGAAGAGTGATTGCTTTTATTTTAGCTCCAGCCATTGAGAGGGTGGCTTCATAAGAATCATAAAATGGAGCAAAGAGGATAACTTCATCACCAGGATTTATCAAACCTAACATGGTGGCAGCAATTGCTTCAGTACACCCAGAGGTAACAGTAACTTCCTTTTCTGGATCTACCACTAGTCCAGTGTCTTTCTGGAACCTGGCTGCTACAGCAGAGTTGAGGTCAGGAACACCATATCCTCGGGCATATTGGTTTTTTCCCTCTCTAATAGCCTGAATGGCTGCCTCTTTCACAAATTCAGGGCCATCAAAATTGGGGAAGCCTTGGCCAAGATTTATAGCTCCATGTTTGATGGCAAGCATGCTCATTTGTGTGAAGATTGTGGTCTTGAATTTCTCAAGGCGTTCTGCAACCTGAAAAAGAAAGCTAGATGAATCGACAAATATTTCCCTTTTAAACCATGAAAAGATCACAGAAATTGATGCATTGTTTAAGATTGGTTTAACCATATATCCTGCAGTATGAAATACCAGAAATGATTAAATGGCATCATATTTGAATATAGGGAAAAAGTTGAACTACTAAAGCCTCTAGCATTGTTTCCTTATATCATTCCTCATGATAATCACTGGATTGTCTTTGTTTTTTTTGTTAATAACTTGGAAATAAAAGCTTCCAGTAAAATTTTCAGCGATTCAATCATCATCGTCATCATCCAAGCCTTACCCCAACTATATAGGGGCTTGGGCTAAGGCTTGGACGACAATGATAATGATGATGATTGAATCGGTAAAAACATGAAACATTGAGGTATGCCAGTATTAAAAGCTTTTGCTTTGAACAAACTCTCAGATTAATAATATAGTCATGGACTATAAAAGTGATCTCAAACCAACACAATAGCTTAAAAAGTTGAGTGTAACCAACTTCAACTGAATAACAAATGAAAAAGAGGATGGGAAAGAACAAACTGTACAAGGTTGGAGAATTAAACAAATTAAACAACAACAACTAAGAGTATGACTAAAATGACAACCTGTAGAGCAAGTAACGTTTTCATATGGCAGGGCAAGGTATTTCTTAGCCAAGTCTGTTTATTTTATCAATTTAGTTATTAGCTTACTGAAACCCTAAACCAATAAGTCTGTTATCAGGCCCATACAAAGTTATTGCCAAGGTGTTATCGGTAAGGTTGAAAGAGGTTCTTCATGTAGTTGTGGGTCCTTTCGCTGTATGCTGGGAGGTTTGGAAGGAAAGAAATAAGAGAATATCCGAGGATAGAATGAGAAGCAACAGAGAGGTGGGGGCTATCATCAGTTCAAGGATTGTTGGTAGGGTTTTAGTTTTGCCAGAATTCAAAGGCTTAAGCATAGAAAATTTTGAAGCTGATTTTCGGAACACTTTGAATGTTTACGTCTATCTTTGTTCTACAATGTAGTTCTTCTTTGGGTCTTTCTTGTAAGTGATGGGGTGACTCCTTGTCACCAAAACATTGTATCTTTCTGTTTTATGAATAAATTTTTTTCTTTATTGATCTTCAAAAAAAATAATAGGCTAAAATGTCCTAACAGATCATTTACTTCCTCTAGGAAATTAAAATGCCATGCTTGGACCTTGCCACTAAATCCCAAGGAAATACCTCAACTCACCCAGATCATTTACTTCAAATTCTTGATTAAGTAGTTACTTAAGAGAATTAATTTCATCGATATCACTTCCTATCACAACAATGTCATCAACATACACAACTAGGAGAGTCAAAGCAAATCATTTCTTCTTAATGAAAAGAGTGTGATCAAGTTGGGCTTGAACATATCCAAATCTTTCCAAAGCAAGTCTGAATCTATCAAACTATGCCCTTGTAGATTGTTTTAGACCATACACAACTTTCTTCAACTTACAAACTTTCATACTAATCTCTGCATCATAAAAACCAAGAGGCAACTCCATATACACCTCCTGCAAGTCACCATTTAGAAATGCATTTTTAACATCCATCTGAAACAATGACCATGAAAAGTTAGCAGCAAGAGACAGCAAAACCCTGATGGTGTTCATTTTTCCAACTAGCGCAAAGGTTTCCAAGTAATCAATACCATAAGTTTGAGTGTATCCCTTAGCAACCAGTCTAGCTTTATATCTTTCAACCATACCATCAACATTACACTTCACTGTGAATATCCACCTACACCCAATAAGTTTCTCCCCTTTTGATTGATCTACTAGTTCTCAAGTATCATTTTTCACAAGGGCATCCATCTCAACCTTCATTGCTTCCTTCCACTCAAGGACAACTAGGGCTTCTTGCACTGTTCTAAGAATAGGAATGGCAGCAATGGAGGCTAAAAAAGACATATGATGATGAAAGGTGGTCATAAGAAAGGAAATGGGAGATACAATGCGCAGTGGATGAGGTAATACCGACACTTCCCCTTGTGTATTGCAATTGGGAGATCAAAGTCATCTAAGGATGGCTGAGGCTCAGTAAGTATGTCACCACTAGTAGGAGTGGGTAAAGAGGAGACAATACCTGAATTTGGTGTCGCAGAAGAGACAGGAATTGGCCTGAACTGATCATTACTGGAACCAACTTGCCTCCACCATCTTCTGTGAAATACCCTTAATTCTTTACACTTTTGACAACTCCCCTCATTACACTCCCCTCCACTTGCAGGAATAGGCAAAGGAACATCTTGAGCAAAAGTGCCTTGCTCACCACTCTCCCCCTGAGGTGGAACTCTAGGGTAAGAGGGGACATCTTTAGAGAAGGTGACATCCATAGATACAAACCTAATTCTTGAGACAGGGTTATAACAACAATACCCCTTTTGATTTTGTTCATACCCAAGGAAGATACATTTGGTAGCTTTAGGGTCAAATTTTGAATGGGTAGGCCCAAGGATTTGGACAAACAGGTGCAACAAAAAGTTTTGGGAAGAACAGAAAACTGCTCCTTATCAAGATACAAGTTAAAAGGAGCTTTCATGTCCAAGACTCGTGAAGGAATCCTGTTAATGAGATAAACAGCAGTAAGAATGGCATCCCCATAGAAATGTATAAGAACATTAGAGTTCAACATGATGCTTCTTATAATTTCAATGATGTGTCTATTTTTCCTCTTAGCTACCCCATTCTACTGAGGTGTATGTGGACAAGTGTTCTAATGAATAACACCATGTTCGAAGAGATAAGAAGTTAAGGGTTTTGCAAAATATTCTTTGGCATTATCAGATCTAAGATTTTTTATTTTAATCCCAAAATGAGTCAAGATCATTTGATGAAAAACACAAGTCAAAGTGGGAACCTCACCTCGAGCGTGCATGAGGTAAACCCATAAAACTAAGAGTAGTCATCAACAAACAACGGAAAGTGATGTAGCACGATCTGACTACTCCCTGCTGGAGGATGATCTGGCTTCCAGTCGGGCAACGAGCTAGGTGAATCTGCAAGACAGCGAATCAGAGAACCCGGGGTGGCTAACCCGGCGAGGTCGCTCCGATGCTTAAGTCAGTAAACTGTGATGCAAGCTGAAAAGCTTTGAGAGCTAGAGAGTAGAGAAATCACGCGTACCTTGTGTCATTGGGGTTGGTGCCTTTATATAGTAGAGCCCTCGCGGGTTTTGCGGATCGGTTCCGGGATCTTCGTCCTGATGGGATCCGTTTCCGCTTTAATTGGGGAGTAACGTTATTAATTAATAGAGATTATCAATTCTGCCCGATCCAGGTGGAGAGAAGATTAGGCCTGTTGTTACGCGGCGTGATCCCGTGGGGTTCAGAGTCTACTAGAGAAACTTCCAGGATCGTTACGTGGTGGTCCGGGTCGGTAGCCCCGAGCTGATACTTCAGTCTTTTAGTTCCGAACTGGATTGAATGCCGAAGTGCCTCGATGCCGAGGTGACCCTTTGCCGAGGTGATTGAATACCCGAGCTCAACTATTGCGAACTAGGCTTGTCGGGCTGAGCTGTCATCTCTTAGTCAGGTCGTGTCCACGTGTCCCCTTCTCGCTAGGTCGCGCCAAATCACCCTTCATCAATTGCCCCCCCACTCCTCGTGCCAGGGGTCCCAACCCAATGCGAGGAGTTCATGGACGATCTAGGTGGATTTGGCGCGAGGTCCGACAATCTGAAGAGCGAACCGCTGGTCGGGCCTGTTCAACCGTCTGGCTCAACCACGAAATGATCCAGATCGCATCCCAGGTACGCCCGAACGTCACATTGTTTATAAACTCCACGGACGTCAAAGAGCGTGCTCAACCGATTTCATCCTCGGGTGTCATGCAACCGGTTTTCATGAAAGTCGTTGGATCGAGCAGGTCTCAATCATTGATCGCCACGCGATGAGCTATAAATAGGGGACCGAGGGGCCCCTCTTCTTCGCCAAAAATCTTGTGATTGAGCTCTCCCGAGGTCGCGTCGGAGTCCTTCAGCTCGCCACTTCTTCCCTTGTGTTTTGTGGCCGTTTTCATCTTTTTTGGTGAGTTCGTCTTTTCTTCCTTAGTTTGTTCTCCTTTCCTGTTCTTGTTTCAATGTCTAGTGCTAGCATAGATAGGCTTCTTAGCGACTCTAGTAGGCTTAAGGGTGCCGAGGTGCAGTCCTTGTCTCCCGCTAGCGAGGTTAGCTCCTCTCTAGGTAGTTCCCCCCTTCGCCCCTTAGGAGAAACCTCTTTACCCAAAGTCGAGCCATCTCAGCCTGAGGAGCCTCTAGCTTGAAAGGAGGGACCGACCTCCAGAGAGGGGGTCCCATCTTCTCGGGGTCAGGATCCAAATGACTTCGGGCCTTCCACTATGACCTCAGACAGGTTACTGTCCTTAGTAGCTCGTTATCATCTTCCCGATAACCTAGTTTTCAGTATTCCTTTGGGTTGATACCCTTGGGTTCATGGTCACCATGAGCTCGCGGTTTTCGAAGAGCAACTCATAGCTGGGCTGCGCTTCCCGCTCCACCCATTCATTATAGAAATAATTAAGTTCTTTGACATCACCATCGACCAATTACACCCAAACTCCATCCAAACTATAGTAGGTACAATCTCCTATTCCACGAGTACAATCGACCTCTGTCTTTAGACGTTTTTAGCTCGATTTGCTCAATCAAAAAGAACTCTGCTTGCCTGTGCGGGGACATCCGACAGAGTTCCTCTAAAAGACCAGTTTCCTTCCTTGCATGCTCTATCAGACTTGAAAAATGAACCCATATCTTCTTTCTTGGTCCCTTCAGCCTCCACTTCGGGTTGCCGAATAGGATTTTGAACCCGGGGTGAGGAGAGATGTAGAGACCAAGGCGGTCGTTAACTTCTGGAGGGACCTCGGCCTAGAGATGAGATATTTCTTAGCCGAGGAGAAGCTTGTGCGAGCTAGGTTGAGCCCTGCTGGTAGGCCTCCACCTCAATGCTCATATTCTTTTTTACTTTGAATT